AGAGATATCCCCAATGCTCTTAGTTACTACACAGGTTTAGATAAATTCATAAATTAGACATTGAGAGGCCTGTAATTCACAACCTTTTTTCCCCAGGTCACATTTACTTATTTTTAGAGCTTTGTGGGATGCTAGTGAGCTAGTCTGAAATTTCTCAAAAGCATAGTTCCCTAAAATCATGGTATGTTTCAGACACAAGAGTTGGTAAAAGAAAGCTTATCTCAAGCATCTGTACCCTCTCCCCATAATACACTTATGTGCTTTTGATGGTGCATGTGGCAATCGGTTGGAGAGCTGGGTTGTGATCCTCTAGATGATGATGTGATCCACTCGAGATGAATCCCCCATAATCTTTCAGAGCTGAGAAAAAATAGTCACATAAACTCACAATTGAAAGTCTAGCAGGCCCATGCCTGAACAGCACAAAGAAAAGAAAATTTGCCCAAGATTTACTAAAAACTCAAGCATCTATGACCTAGCCAATCCATGAATGAATTTAGGAAATGAGTTTCTCAGGCTGTCCTCCTAACAGAGCAAACAGAGAAAACTCTCTAGAAGAGCCACCTGAAGCTTCTTTGGTTGTTTATATACAATTTCCTGCACACAATAAATCATTACTATACATGCTAAGAGCTAAAATTTATGACCTATTACTAAAAGAAGAAAAAGAAAAGGAAAGAAAAGGAGAAATTAAAAGTAATGTCAAGGTGACCAGATAGTGAGCAAGAGTATATTAAAAAAAATCATAACTATGATTAATACAGTTTAAAATAGAAGAAAAAAAATAGAATAAAAGAAAGAATGTAGAATATCCTCAAGTGAATTTGAATATACAAAAGTATAAATGATATTTTAGAACTAAAATATGAAAATTATATTAAGAATTTGGTGGATGGTTTGAACAGTAATTTAGGCATGTGAAAATACAAAATTACTTATCTGGGAGACAGTTTATGAAAAAATCCCCACACTGATGTACACCAAAAAAAAGCATTAAAATTGAGCTTTACTAATATATGTAACATATTAAATGTTCTAACACTTCTATTAGTAGAGAATTAGAGAAAGTGAAAGATAGAAGTGAATAGAAATAATATTCAACAGATGTTTGTTGGCAATTTTTTTTAAGGGAGGAGAGATGTTAACTCATTGCTTCAGATCAGGTCACATATTTCTCAGAGGCATGGACAAATTCTATTTGTCTCGTTGCTTTTGTTCTGACTGTGATACCCTTAACAATCTGTCAAATTGTCTGATTCTTTTTTCTGCCTGCTGAATTCTTCCAGCTATCTCTTTAAGTAAATGTTTTATTTTGGTTATTATAATATTCAACTCAAGACTTTTCCCTTCCTCCCTTCCTCCCTGCTTTCCCTCTGGTAACCACTAAACTGTTGTCCATGTCTATAAGTTTTTGTTTTCCTGTTTTGTTTGTTTGTTGCTTTCATATGTCTCATATATGAGCGAAATCATATGGTTCTCAACTTTTTCTGTCTGACTTATTTTGCTTAGCATGATTATGTCAAGATTCATTCATGTTGTCACAAATGACAGTATTTCATCTTTTCTTATGGCTGGGTAGTATTCCGTTGTACATATGTACCACATCTTCTTTATCCAATCATCTATGAAGGACATAGTTTTTTGAGGAACCTCCATACTGTTTTCCATCGTGTCTATACCAATTTACATTCTCACCAGCAGTGCATAAGAATTCTTTTTCCTCACAATCTTGCCAACACATATTATTCCTTGTCCTATTGATCAGTGGTCCCCAACCTTTTTGGCTCCTAAGAGAATTTAATACCTGATGATCTGATGCAGAGCTGAGGCAGTGATGCTAGCACTGGGGAGCAGCAGCAAATACAGATGAAGCTTCTCTCGCTGACACTCCGCTCACCTAACAGGCCACAGATGGATACTGGTCCAGAGGTTGGGGACCCCTGCTGTTCATGATAGCCATTCTAATAGGTATGAGGTGGTATCTCATTGAGGTTTTGATTTGCATTTCCCTAATAACTAGTAAAGTTGAGCATCTTTTCATATGTCTGTTGGCCATTTGCATGTCTTCTTAGGAGAAGTGTCTAGTCAGGTACTCTGCCCACTTTTTAATTGAATTGTTTGATTTTTTTGTTGTTATTGAGTTGTATGAGTTCTTTGCATGTTTTGAATATTAGCCCCTTATTAGAAGCATTGTTTGCAAATATCTTCTCCCATTCAGTTGGTTGCCTCTTTGTCTTGTTGATGATTTCTTTTGCTGTGAAGAAGCTTTTTTTAGTTTGATATAGTCCTATTTATTTATTTTTGCTTTTACTTCCATTGCCTTTGAAGTCAAATTTATAAAATCCTCTCTAAATCTAAGGTTCATGAGTTTAGTACCTATGTTTTCTTCTGTGCAATTTATTGTTTCAAGTCTTATATTTAAGTCTTTGATCCATTTAGAGTTAATTTGGGTGTATGGTGACAGACACCAGTCTAGTTTCATTCTTTTGCATGTGGCTTTCCAATTTTCCAGCACCATTTACTGAAGAGGTTTTCTTTTCTCCATTGTATATTTTTGGTTCCTTTGTTGAAAATTATTTGCCCTGATATATGTGAATTTATTTCTGGGCTCTCAATTCTGTTCCATTGGTCTATGTGTCTGTTTTTCTGCCAGTACTATGCTATTTTGATTACTGTCACTTTGTAGTATAATTTGAAGTCTGGCAATGTGATACCACCAGCCTCATTCTCTTTTCTCAGGATTGCTTTGGCTTTTTCAGGTCTTTTGTGATTCCATACAAGTCTGATGATTTTTTGTTCTATTTCTTTTTAAAATGCCATTGGGATTTTGATGGGGATTGCATTAAATCTGTACATTGCTTTGGGTCACATGGCCACTTTAACTATGCTGATTCTTCCAATCCATGAACATGGAATATCTTTCCATTTCTTTGTTTTTCTTCTATTTCTTTGAATAATACCTTATAGTTTTCAATTATAGATTCTTCACATGCATCGTTAGGTTTTTCATAAGTATTTTATTCATTTTTTGCAATTGCAAAATGAATTGGTTTTTTTATTTATTTTTCTGAAATGTGTTAGTGTATAGGAACACAAGAGACATTAATTTTTTAAAATTTTTTATCAGTTAAAGGGTTGTTCCTAAGGAGAAACTCTGCCTAGCTCTTCACACAAACACTCTAGAACTACCACTCACCTGACACTTTGAAGAAAAAAAAAAATACTACCAGATATTCAGTCCTATTACAAAGCTATAGAAATTGAGATAGTAGAAAATGACCAGTGAAATAGAATAGAAAGCTGAATAAACTTTTCAGTAGCTTGTGTTTGTCAATTAATATCCATGTGAAAGTGATGTATCTTTTGCTCTACCTTAAACTGCACACTGAGATCAATTCCAGATTGGTTTTAGTTTTCAGTGTCAACAGTATATTAATAAACTATCAAATTAAAGCAGAAAAAGTTAATTTATGACCATAGAGTAGGCAAGTTTACCTGAATGAAAATAAAATCTGAAAGTGAAAACATCAGTTGTTAAATAGACCATTAAAATTGTGTCTACTCTTCAAAAAATACCATTAAAAATTAAAATAGGTGCTACTTGAATATTTGAAGAATATGTTTGTAAAATCCATGTATTAAAAGGAATTTATACACAAAAAATATATAAGACTCCTTCAACACTGTGATATTAAAGAAAGATAGTTCAATGGTAAATTGGCCAAAATAGTCACTTCTCAAAAGAGGACAGCAAGTAAACATATGAAAAGGTGATCAAATTTTTAGTTATCAAAAAACACATATTAAAACTGCAATTTTATAATATTTTATAACACCAGAATGACTAAAATGAAAGTTTTGATTGAACATATTATAAATAAGGTTATAGATAATTAAAACTCTAATACATTGGTGTTGGGTGTGTAAACTGCTGGAAACCCGCTGGAAAACTGTTCATACTATTTCCTGTGCCTAAGCATATCATATACTCTAAGTAAGTACAATCTGAGTTAAAAGCCTGATGGAAATGTCTTCATGTTTTCACTGAATGACATGTAGTAAAAGTTTCATAAAAAATATTAATCATTATGCCTCAAAACTAAAAACCAACAAGTGTTCATCAATGGTTGTCTGGTTAAATAACGAGGTAAATTGACACACTGGTGTACGGCACAGGAATGAGAAGGAATGTTCTACAAATACATGTCACGACATGGATGAATTTACAAACAAAATACTGAGTGACATAAACAAGCTGCAGTAGAGGTCATATAGGATAATTTCATTTACACGAAGCACAAAACTGGTTAAACTAATCCATGTTATTAAAATTTAAGATAGGGATTATTTCTGGAGGGCACACAAAATATGAATGTTATACTTAAGTAAAAAATTTTTTAAATAAAGTACAAAATGTTTGGATAGTGTAAAAATGTAAGTTTTAAAAATAAGTCCTTCTAAAAGCATTTCCTGGGTATTGCCCAGTCAGGCTTGATTGCTCTAACTCTTTGCCTTATTTTGGTTTATGAAGAAATAATGTAATCTGACTTCTCAAATATATGGTTCATGCCGAAAATGTTTAATTATGCTAGGTGAATTTTTTGTCTGTTTTAGCACTTAGTATATT